AAACTGTTCCTCGCTTAGCAGCNCATTCCCCCCAACAACACCACTCACCGTAGGAGTGCAAACTGCATATCAAACTGTTCCTCGCTTAGCAGCTGCTGGCAGTGCTGCTGCTGCTGCTGCTGCAGTTGCTGCTGCTGCTGCAGTTGCTGCTGCTGCTGCTGCATCGCCTTGAGTCCCTGCTGCATACACCTCGCCTCCCGCTGCTGGTGTACGTACAGCGGCAGCGGCGCAGAGCCCCAGCAGCTGCTGCAGCTGCACCTCTGTCCCCTCCCGAAACCCAGCATGTAAAGCAACGCCTGCAGCAGCAGCAGCACACGCAGCAGCAGCAGCAGCAGCAGCAGCAGCAGCAGCAGATGCAGTTGTATGAGAGTCAGCAGTCTCTCAGCAGCAGCTGTCTCCATTCCTCTATCATATCCCAACCTGCATGTGGTCTGTCACTGCTGTTTTTGCTGTTACTACTCCATCTGCTGCTGCTGCTGTTGCTGCTGCTGCTGCTGCTGCTGCTGCTGCTGCTGCTGCTTACTCTTTTGAGGTCTCTGGGTGCGTCTGGGGCCTGCGGGGGAGGCCGCAGCTCCTCCCTGAGGAGCAGAGGAGACACCACGGCCCCTGTCTCCTGCGCGTACAGCAGCGCTGCTGCTAGCTCTGCTCGCCAGTCTAAGAAGGGAAAATCTGCTGCCCACAGTGCTGCTGCTGCTGCTGCTGATGCTGCATCCACAACACCTGTTGCTGCTGNGGAAAATCTGCTGCCCACAGTGCTGCTGCTGCTGCTGCTGATGCTGCATCCACAACACCTGTTGCTGCTGCTGCTGCTGCAGCAGGTGCTGCTGTTGCTGCTGCTGCTACTGCTTCTCGGCTCACGCCGTCTTGTGTCTCCGCTTGCGAGCAGCGCAGCTTGTTGGCAGCGGGCCCATGAGGACGGCCCTCAGCAGCAGCAGCAGCAGCGGCAGCAGCAGCAGAAACAGCAGCAGCAGCAGCAGAAGCAGGAGGAGGTGCGCCCCCCAGCAGCCTATACACCCGACGAACTTCTCGCGGGGGCTGCGGCAGAGTTGAAGCTTGCAGGGCATCCGCATAAAGCAGCTGAACAGCAGCAGCAGCAGCAGCAGCAGCAGCAACAGCAGCAACTAGATGCATGCAAATCACCCCCCGTGCTGTTGTTGCTGCTGCTACTGCTGCTGCAGCACTAGCAGCAGCAGCTGCAGCAGAATGACGAAAGCTCATCAGCAATACTAACGGGCGAAAAGCAACAACAAAAGCAGCAGCAGCAACGCCAGCAGCAGCAGCAGAAACAGCAGCAACAGCAGCAGCAGCAGCAGAAACAGCAGCAACAGCAGCAGCAGCAGCTGACCTGACAGCCCAGGGGCTGCTGGATGTGAGCAGCAATCGCCAAGGCCATATGCGGGTAGAACGCGCCCTCCTTCAGCAGCAGATGCACAGAAGCCAGACCCTGCAGCAGCAGCAGCAGCAGCAGCAGCAGCAGCAACAGCAACAGCAGCAGACATCAACGCAAACATACTACAAAGCGTGCCCCACAACAGACGATCTGCTACTACTGCTGCTGCTGCTCTTGCCCTTCCTGCTGCTCTTCCTGCTGCTCCTCCTGCTGCTTCTGCTGCTGCTGCTGCTGCTACTGCTGCTGCTGCTGCTACTGGTGCTGCTGCTGCTGCTGCTGCTGCTAGACGAGGACTCACATGGCCATTGGCGAGGAGGTGCAGCAGCGCAGCAAACCGCCGCAGCTCGCCGACGGTCGTCATTGCCTCCAGCAAGGCCTTGGCGCTGCAGGAGAGAAACAGCTCGCGGTTCCGCTGCAGCAGCAGCAGCAGCAGCTGCTGCTGCTGCTGCTTCTGCTGCTGCTGCTGGGCTAGGGTAGCCAAGCGAGCTCTGCGTAGGAAGCTCAGCAGCAGCGGCCGCCCCTCCTCTGCCAGCCACTGCAGCACGCGCTGCTGCCGCTGTCTCTCCACTGCAGCAGCAACCGAAGCACTGAAATCTTTGTTAGAGCCCGCATGCAGCAGCTGCTGCAGCTGCTGCTGCTGCTGAGCACTGGGATCCAGCAGCAACGCAACAAGAAGACGCCAAGTCTGCAGCATATAAGGAGACAAGTAAGACACCTCCGAATACCGGCGGCTGTCTCCTCCATCAGCTGATGCTTCTGCTGCTGCTGCTGCTGCTGCTGCTGCTGCAGGAGATGCAGCAGCAGCAGCAGCACCTGCAACCCACGGAGACCTGCGGGGCCACACCGCCGCATCGCCGCCGCCAGAATAGTAGCGGTTCTGCTGCTGTAGAAACTCCAGCACGCGCAGCAGCAACCTGAACAGCAGCAGCAGCAGCAAAAGCAGCAGCAGCAGCAGACGTCAGCTACCAACAACCATATCCTAGCTGCATGCATGTGTCTAGGGCTGCCCAGAGCAGCTGGTAGCCTCCTCTTGTAAAAATAGCAACAGCAGCAGCAGCAGCAGCAGCAGCAGCAACAGCAGCAGCAGCAGCAGCAGCAACAGCAGCAGCA